TCAGCGCTTATGCCAACCGCTTTAGCTCCCAAGCGCTGATGATGATCATATTGGTATGAAAATGTTCAAGTCGTTTCAATTTCACTTTCATTCGCTCTTAGCAGCAGCCAAGAAACGGTCGTGTATTCAATTGCAAAGCGCGTTAATAAAATATTTTCAAAACTATAACAACAACTAAAAGCTTAAGAAAATAATCATAAAATAATTGTAATATTGGTTTAGTGTCTTGTTTTTTTTTCCAACAACTAAATCCTTGTTAATCTGTTTTAAAGCAAAAATAATAAAAATGAAAAATAACGGTTTATAAAGTGGACATTAATCGGGATATTAATTATAGTTAGTGACGCTTGTAATTATTTGTTTAAAATTGTTGTCAGTGTTTTTTCCCAAGCCAATTTACTGTGGATTTAAATAGAATTATATAAATAAATAAAATTATTTATATTGTTTATAAAATTTAATGGAATTAAAAGGTTGGTTAAAGAATTATTTAAAAATAGAAGGGTTTTTTTTTCAAACAAACTAAAGAAGGATAATAAGGACTATTTAAACAAGAAAATTGATCCAGAACATCAGATCATATTTTTTATAGAAATTTTGTCTAAGCTGAATCAATATTTTCTATGGAAATGATGATGAAGAACTTTTCATTGACATGTCGTACTATTTTCTATACAAACATTATCTAGACTTTTTCTTTAGAGAAATTTTCTAGACTAAAGGAACCTTTTCTATAGAAAAATTGTCTAGACTGGAGCAACTTTTCTATAGAAAAGTTGTCTAGAATAGGGAAACTTTTTATATAGAAAAGTTGTCTAGAATAGCAAATTGTTCTATACAAAAGTTGTCTAGGCTAGAGCAAATTTTTCTATAGAAAAGTTGTCTATCTTTAGTAGAGAAACTTTTGTTATAGAAAAGTTGACTAGACTAGAGCAAGTTTTTATATAGGAAAGTCGTCTAGAATAAAGCAGCCTTTTCTATAGAAAAGTTGTCTAGAAGAGTGCAGGTTTTACCATAGAAAAGTTGTCTAGAATAGAGCAACTTTTTCTATGGAAAAGCTGTTAAGAATAGATTCATTTTTATATAGAAATATTGAAGGTAGAAAAATTGTCTAAACTAGAGCAATTTTCTCTATGTAAAAGTTGTCTAGACTAGAGCAACACTTTCTATAGAAAAGTTGCCGAGACTAGAGCAACATTTACTATAGAAAAATTGTCTAGACTAGAGCAACATTTTTTGGAAAACTTGTCTAGACTAGAGCAACTATTTCAAAAGAAAACTTATCGAGACTAGATGAACTTTTTCTACAGAAAAGTTATCTTAAGTAGACCATAAGAAATTTGTCTAGACTAGAAGAACTTTTTCTATAAAAAAGTTGGCTAGAGTAGACAATCTTTTCCCATAAAGACTTTGTATAGGGTAGATGATCTTATTCTATAAAGAAAGAGTAGAGCAACTTTTTCTATAGAAAAACTATATATGTAGATAGAGCATCATCTCTTCTATAGAAATCCTTTACCACTTAAAGCTTTTTTAAAGAAAACATTTACGATGTAAAGCTTTTGCATAGAAAACCTTTACGACCTAAAGTATAGAAAACCTTTACAGTCTAAACCTTTTATATACATATACATTCTAAAGCTTTTCTTTAAACACATTATGGACACAAAGCTTTTCTAAAGAAAATCTAAAGTTTATCTAAAAAAGAATAGATAACCATATAAAGCTCTTCTAAAGCTCTTCTATGGAAAATTTAAACGACTTTTCTTTAGAAATTATTTACCTACTAACAAAAGCTTTTAAATGAATTTTTCTATAGAAAATCTTTACGACTTAAAGCTTTTGACAGTAAAGTTTTTCCTATAAGAAACCATTACGACCTAAAGCTTTTCTAAAGAAAACCTTTACTTTTGTGTAGAAAACTTTTACAGCCTAAAACTTTTGCTAAAAAAAACTTTTGCAACCTAAAGCTTTTCTGTAGAAGAGTGGTACTAATAAACCAATTTAATCAATTTAAATATAAAACTTGATTCATTTAAATTATACACATTTAAATGCTACCAAAATTTTTGATGGATTAACTGAATTAATTATAATACAAATTTGTTTATTTATAAAAACTATAAATCTCAACAATGAATGAATCTTTTATAAGATTTAGCTATTGTTCATTGATCATGAGACTATATCTCATACTTTTATAAAATACAAATCATATTAGTAAAATATTAACATAAAACTATAAAAGTGGGTGCTTCTATTCAATCGTCAACATTAGTGGTTATTTGCTTAGTTATTGAAAACCATGTTATGGCCCCAATTAATTAAATGACCGCAATTAAATTAGTATCCAGACATGCTAAACAATACATTCAATTACATATTTGTTAATTAAAGTTATTGTTAATTAAAGTAAAAGCTGTAGGTAATTATAAAGTGAAGGGTTCCATAATGATTACAGCACTTTGATTACTATTTGGTTTAGTATATATTTTGCTTAATTATTTGTTTATTAGAGGCGTTTGTTTATGATAAGCTTTTAAATATAATAGTTTATATGGTAAATACTTCAAGTTAATCTTATTACAAAATTTTTAAACAAATTTCCTTTAAACAAACTTCATTTGTAGCATTTAGTTACATGAAGTTGGAAAAGTGTAAAATTTTGGGGAGAAAAAAAAAACCGTCATAAAACCATGACTTTCAAATATTTGTTTTTATGGCCTTAACATTGCCAAAAAAAAAATAAAAACTATTAAAATAAAAACAAAAGAAAATAAACAAAGAAGTTAAACTTAAACTTATGCAATAGCATCTGTAGTCATACATACACTCATACGAGTTGTTTTTTTAATAATAATAAAAAATATTTTCATAATTCATGAGAGCACAAGACAAAAAGCAAACAAACAAACAGACGGACTAACTGACTGACAAACAACAATAACAAACTTTTATGACACTTTACGGTCAGTGACACCAAACTCTGAGAAAAACTGGCGATTAACGAACCCAAAAAATAAACTAAACTCCACATATGATATTTTTGTAGACTTAGTTTTGATACACAACACATTCATAGTTATTACACACACCCATTTAGTTTAGAGCGCGAGCTTTAGTTTAAACCAAGTTTAGCAATGCTGGTTTGTAGTTAAATACAACTGAATGTTTAATGCTTTAAGTTAAACATGTGCAGCAGGTTACCTCCAAAGAGAAAAAATTAAATGCAACTAGACTTTGGCACGTGTATGTTTCATATTCAGTTATTCGATGGTATAGCTTGTTGGGTCTTGAATTATTCATTAATAATGTATGACAAAGTTTGAAGAGCTTTTGTCAACCTTGCGCGCTTATTCTCATTACAATATCGGTCAAGAGTGGCCATAGTTAATGATCATTTAAAGAGTTTTTTGCTGCATTATAGCAATTAAGCATTTTCTGTAGATAAACTTTATAACCTAAAGCTTTTCTATGGAAAAACTTTACGAAAACTTTACTATAGAAAATTTTTACAAACTAAAGCTTTTTTAAATAAAAGCTTGAAAAAGCTTTTCTAAAGAAAACCTTTACGACCTAAAGCTTGTCTAATGAAACATATTACAAACTAAAGATTTTCTAAAGAAAATCTTAAAAAAGCTTTTCTAAAGAAAACCTTTACAAGCTAAAGCTTTTCTAGTGTAACAGTTTACAACCTAAAGCTTTTCTATATAAATATAAGATTTTCTTTAGAAAACCTGTACGTTCTAAAGCCTTTCCCATATGAAGAAAACAGTTACGATCTAAAGCTTCTTTAATCTAGTACGAAAGAGAGACTAAAGAGAAACTTTGCGACCTAAAGCTTTTCTAATAAAAACCTTTACTACTTAAAGCTTTTCTATAGAAAATTTTTACAAACTAAAGCTTTTTTAAATAAAAGCTTGAAAAAGCTTTTCTAAAGAAAATCTTTACGTCCTCAAGCTTTTCTAATGAATTATTTTATAAACTTAAGATTTTCAAAAGAAAATCTTGAAAAAGCTTTTCTAAGGAAAACCTTTACAAGCTAAAGCTTTTCGAATATAACAGTTAACAACATAAAGCTTTTCTGTAGAAAACCCTTACTTTCTAAAGCTTTTACTATATGAAGCCTTTACGATGTAAAAATTTTCATAAGAAGAGACTAAAGAGAAACTTTGCAACCTAAAGCTTTTATAATAAAAACCTTTACAAGCTAAAGCTTTTGTATAGAAAAATTTTACAAACTAAAGCTTTTTTAAATAAAAGCTTGAAAAGGCTTTTCTAAAGAAAACCTTTACGACCTAAAGCTTTTCTAATGAAACAATTTACAACCAAAGATTTTCTAAAGAATATATTGAAAAAAAGGTTTTCTAAAGAAAACCTTTACAAGCTAAAGCTTTTCGAAAACCTAAAGCTTTTACGATGTAAAGATTTTCATAAGAAAGCAGTTACGACTTAAAGCTTTTTAATCTAGTACCTTTACAACCTAAGACTGCTTCATTAAAATCTTAGCTTGGGTTCCGTTATGACACATAAAAATTTCCGCTTCTTAACATCTTGATTTTAATTATATTTACAGCAAATTTTCTTTCTTTAATTTTTTCACTTTTTGCTCTTATCTTAAACTTTAAAACTAATCACAAACACAACAATTTACTTAAATTTCAAAATCTTTTTTTAACTTTCAAAACTTTCCTGTATATTTGTCTTATTTACATCTTCTGTCTTTCTCACTAGATTGGCAATGTTACGAAAATTTCTAAAACCAACTGTTATTGCCAGTATTTTAATATTACTAACCATCTTAACAACCATAACGAAGGCAACAGCTGTGACGACATCTACAACATCTATAGCAACAACAATAACACCAATACCATCTCCACCACCGCCGTCGCCGTCACCATCGTCAACAACTACCGCAACAGCCACACCATCAACAAATATTTCAGCAACAGTTTTTCCGTTAACAAAAACATCAGTTGTCAGCAAATTCTTAAATAATGCAGCCGAAGAAACAACAACATCATTGTTGCCCTTACAGCCACCTTTAAATGTGACATCAACAACTTTGGCAAGTTTTATATTAAACCAAAAACAGCAACAACAACAGCGTCAGAGGAAACAACAGCAATTGTTGTATTTGCAGCAACAACGTCAACATCGACAGGTACAAGATGTTGAGGAAATAACGCAAGAAGAACAGCAACAACAACAGAAACATTTATTAAACGACAATGTTAATGACAACAAAGAAATTATAAAAAAGGTAAGAAAGTGTTATTAGTCTAGAGTTTTTGAAATATTTAAATAATTTATTTTCTATTTCTTACAGAATCTGGACTCTTCTTTTGTTACCGTTACTTCACCAGTTGATGTTATAACACCCGAACCTAGTTCTACACATGCCTATATACCCTTCGATTTGGACTATAATGATCCAACTGAGGAAAAAGCTCTAAAAGAATCCACTGCTCGTCAATCTACTATCAATGAGGTTTTGACGAATCTCTTTCCCAAAGGATTTTCTGATATATTTAGATTTAGCTATGCTGGCGAACAGGAAACCCCTAGTACCACCAGCACCACTACTACTACTACCGCAGCACCCATAAGAGTAGTGAAATCTACACCAACACCCTTCAAACCCATGCCCTCCACCAAAACCAAGAAAAAGGAAAAGGCTGAATTACCGCGTAATGGCACTTTTATTACCGTATCCACTTCGGTGACCAGAGAAATACGCCGAGAAATAAGTCCTGGTCATACCGAAATAGTAGTGGAAAAAATTATTACCGATCCCGGTTCCCTAAGATCAAGTGAAGAGTTTAGAGATGGCAGTAATTCCATAAGTAAGGATGAATTATTAAGAATTAATAGAGCAGCCAAAGAAGCTTCTGTTTTACCCAGTCTTTTAGTTAATCCTCAAAGCAATAACAGTAATAATCTAACAGATTCCAAAGCTCTCACACCCATTGTTATACTAAATGAAAACTATAATAATGATGATTTTGTAGATGCCCCAGAAGATGATAATCAAATAGCTGAAACCCAGGATGTAATACATCAAGTTGTACAAGCTCCCCCGGCCGAAAGCACGAATTATCACGTTACGCCCAATCATCAGTACAATGTGCGCATTATACATGACAATACTTTAAAGAATGCTCAAGATAATGAGCTGTCGCATCCCACTCTGAGAAATTCTCCATCCTATCAAACATTTGTGGAGCAAAGTAAACATTTGCAAAACTCTTTAAATGAAGCACCTTCAAGGACATTTTTGAAAAATTTTCAAAATCCCATACTATCGCAAAATGTTCATTCGGCTGCGGTAAATAAAGGCAGTTTTCATTATGAGCAGTCACCACCACAATCTCATATTCAAACTGTGCTGCCGGCTGCACAAGTGCAGTATGCTCAATATCAGCAGCAGCAGCCACAAGCAGAAGCTTTACAGCAGCCGCCATCACAAGCCGTACAATACCAGCAACAACAGCAGCTGCATACTCAGATAACTGCCAGCGATAAAGATATTTATCAAATTGATTCAGATCAACATCAATTGGAACATGCCACAGAAGCTAATATAGTTTTTGTCACCATTAACACTCCTATTGCCCACAACGTACAGCAGACACCCAAACTGGTGCAAACATATTCCCAAGAGCCACAAATTATACCACCACAGCCCATGAAATCTCCTCATGAATTTGTAGCCGATGCCATGGCCCACAATAACCATGAAGCTCAACAGTTGGTGGTGGATCATCAGGCTCAACAAACGGAAAATAATCCTAAACCCAGTAATGCGGGCTATACTTATGTGGAAGTACAAAAGTCCATTAATATACACAATAAATTGATTACCGAGAAAGATGGACGTTTGATAGAACAACATGAGACCATTTATCCGCCGGAACAGAAATACACCCACCATATTGAGCAACAACAGGAGCCTGTACAACCACAACCTTCGCCGGATTATGTATCGCTTTCACAAAATCCTATACATGTGGAACAAGAGGAAGAACACTACGAGTCAGCTGCTTCGCTAAAAGAAGAACAACATACTCTGAATCCTGCTCAAGATTTGTCCGATTTTGGCACTATACAGCAGTCAAATCTTGTACAAGAAACTCATATTATAGAGACAGCACAGCAAGATCAACATGTGCCAGCCGAACAGGTGCAGTATGAACAACAACAACAACATGCTCAAGAGCAAAATAATCACGAACAATACAATCAACATTATGCCCAAGAACAGCAAGTACAATATCAACAACCTGCAAATGATCATCATACGCAATATGATCAATATCATGTCCATGAACAGCAAGTACAATATCAACAACAACCGGATAATCATCACCACCAGCAATTGCACTATCAGCAACTTGATAATAATCATCAACATCAAGAAGCTTATGCAACGCATGAACAAGATCATCAAGCAGAAGAGGCACAACATCATATAGAAGACGAGGAGGAAGGTGATCATAAAATAGTCGAAGAACAACAGCTTAACGAAGAAGTTCAATCTCAGCCGGCAAACGTAGCTTATGGACCCACGGTACAAATACCTTATGCTTTACCCGAAAGAGAGTCCTATCACCAACCTCAAATTATAGAGAAACATATACCCGTACCTTATGGTGTACCAGAACCGGTGGGCATACCAGTACACATAGAACATTATATAGACCGTCCTTTTCCTGTAGAAACCATAGTGGAGAAACCTGTTCCCTATCCGGTCGAAAAGGTAGTGGAAAAGTTTGTGGAGAAACATGTGCCCATAGAAGTGGAAAAGATAGTGGAGAAACCGGTGGAAGTAATAGTCAAGAAATATATAGATCGTCCCGTGGCAATACCCATAAAAATACCGGTAGCTTTACATTTACCTGCCTCTCCCCATGGACCTCCGTTTGGTCATTATCCTCCCACTTTTGCTGGCGTTAGTTTGGATCATGCCTCCACTTGGCCTCAAACAGTTAATGGCGGTAGCTTTAGTCGTATACCCCAAAGTGTGGTTAAGGCTTATTATGCCAAAATGTTGAAAAAACTAGTGCCTCAAATGCAACAGGCCTACAAGAATACACATGCCACCAAAGCTGTGCCGAAAATTACACCCAAACCTTTTGCCAAGCAAACTTACAAAATATCCGATATGTTATATGATCTCAAGCCACCACCACCACGTCCTAAGGGGGCCACCTCTAGTTGGGATGTGGGGGCTCGTTATCAATATGACTACAATACTTTGCCCATAGACTTGTCTGCTTCCTCATCTATTGCAGTAGGCAAACATATGGAAAGGCCAGGTCAGGGTTATAAAACTAACTTTGATGAATTTCAAAGATGGCGTAATGGCCACAGCTTAAAGAGATCACCAGATTTTGGTAGAAATTTACATGTGGAATATGGTTTTAAGCCACCCCTAGTACCCTCTGTAGAAATTGATGATAAGGGGGTGCCCTTAAAGGCGGTGGCAGATTTGACTAAAGGAAAAGAGGAGTAGAGAGAGAGAACAAAGAGAGACATATAGTCAGAGAGCAGAAGCTGAAAGTACAGCAAATGTCAATGATCTGCAGGTGCAAATGTCAAAATTTGATGATTATTTTATTTGTAGAAATTAAAAACGTATTAAATTATTTAAACAAATTTTGTGCCAAACAAATTTTAACGAATTTTTTTTATTCTTTATAAACAAATATATTTTTATTGTATGTTATTTTATTTATTAAATAATTTTTAGTTTTTTTAAGGTGCTTAATTATGAATTAATTAAAAATTAATAAATATTATTTACCAGCGTTTTATTTAAGAGTAATAGAAGGTTTATAAAGTATGTTTCTATCAGACCAATAATAGGACTGATGTCAAAACTTGCTGACTAAGTTTTGAATTAATTTGAATAGCGGACAGGACGATTGTCAGCCAGTTAGGGCTCCTGAAGCCTTCACGGATATACTGGGTTGCGACTCCTAGATCAGGGCTCAGAAAGATAGAGAAAGAACCGGAAGCAATTACTGCCATAGGGACCTCAAAATATTCTTTCATTAGATTAATACTCATTTTTACAAAATTTCTCATTTTTACAAAAAAAAACTTCAAAATTGATTAAATTTAACTGAACCTCCTAATAGTATAACACACAACTGTTATGTTTAAGCCCCTATAAATATGCTAAGAAATAGAAAACAATCAATTAATGCTAATAGTTCAACAGAAAATACATTTTTATTAATATTACACACAAAGCTGACACTTTATCTTTTCGTGTTAATCATTTCATTTTCATAGAACTTTTGTAGTTAATTTTCTCTAAAAAGCCATTTAAAACATAGAACAATAAAGAATTTAGTAGAATGGCAACTACTAGCAATTAAATTACATAAAATATAGAAACAAAACAAAAAAATATATATTGCCTATAGTCAGGCTGATATTATACACAACTTGTGTCTTGTATATTAACTGGCTTAACGGGGAACAAAACTGAACGATTGTAATAATTGACGTAGTTAATTAATTTTGCCAGCATAACTCTTAAAATACTGCTACACAGTTACAGTATAAAAAGGCATAAATATGTGCGTCATTATTTACAAACATTTGCCAATTAACAATATTAACAAATAAATACATAAATAGAATAGAACGCTGTTGTAGATGATTTTAACATATCTATGTACATACATAAACTAACTATAAAATATTATCTAGACATAAACAAACCCCAACTCTGCTAAGGAAACATTTATATAAAATTGTTACACATACACTTATGTTTAGAGATAGGTATATGCTAATGTTAAAAGCTGTATAACCGCCTAAAAGCAGACAACGCAAAATGTTAATTTTACTTAGAAAACGCCATGTATTATGTAAATTCATTATCTTTTTTAAACAACACACGACAACAACCATCAACCAAAATTTGCATAATTTTAGCCAAACCAAAAAATAAACACATATTCCTATCCCAATAACATACAACACACATACTGCTAAAAGCGGGCTAAGAAAATCCTTTCATACTCTTACACTTACGCACATACACACACACTCTCTCCTAATATATTAAGATACAAAAAAATAACGTTTGGAATTAAACAGTGAAATAAAATTGAAAGTTAAAAAAAAGGGTTCAACATTTAGAATTTCTTTTCTTGGTCTTATTTGGCTTTTAATAGGGCCCGAAAAAAAATGAAATAAAAAAAGGCAGTAATACTTTAAGATTTATTTGACAGCTAATAAATTTAACACATACTTAGACTCACACTTGAACGCTGTTGTAAACGCATACACACAAAGGCAAAGGATAAATACAGAGCCCCATAGTTTGGGGTGGATATCCCAAATTGGTGATTAGTTATTCAAAATGAACAATTGCCTCTGCAACTTCTGATTATAACTTCAATGCTAAAAGAAAAAGTTGCATTCCAGGCGAGTTCATTGTTCCTGAACTAATTTGGAAAATGTTTGCTCTGAAACTATTTCATTGTTAGTATGAAATTGCTGTTGACTTCATCAAAATCATTCATAAACGTTATGAAGCAATTACGTTGCAAAATCGAACTTATTTGTTCATCATAGTAATGAAATGTTTCATATATTCAATGAAATGTTTCATATATTCAAAGAAATATTTCATATATTGAATGAAGACCATCCGATGAACGTATTTCATTGGCTAAGTTAGTTACACTAAGTAACTACTTTTGAAATGATTTCTCTCTAGAATTCTTTGAACTTCTTTGCTTAACTTTTTGAGTTTAAAGGAGAGAGGAGAATGGCAATTTCCCCTTTATCCTACAAACTGAAAATGTGTAACAAAAATGGGCCTCAACTTAGGGACACGAGTGTAATAATAGACTTTATCTTTTTACTATAAATTGTAGAATAAATTATTTAAAAGGGTCTAACAGCGTTCTAAAGTATATACCAGAAAAAGTCTTCTGTATAATGACTTTCCTTTCTACACTATACTTAACTGACGATTTACTCACTCTCCTCTTTATAAAAAGCCCTATTTCGTGTTCTCCAAGTAGTGAGAATTTGGAGAAAATATTGCCTAAAAAGAAAACATTTAACCCTTTCAAAACTACCGGGAAAACAATGTAAACAAGCACATTCGTAAAACATTCACACTCATACTTTTGTAAAAGAAAAATGCACACACACACACATACGCTCATACTATTAGCTTTTGCACATCACATTAGCACGTTTCACATTTTAGTTTAAATACTTATCGAACCTTGGTATATTTCTTTTACATGCTGACTTTTACATACATTTACAAGATTGCAGAACCTTAAAGGAAGCAATAGTTTCAAGATTTGTTTCCTTTGATTTCCTGACAAAACGTTAAAACTCTTACACAAAACGCAGCATCTAATCACTTCCCTAAAATAACTTTGGATAATGGATTGATCAGAAAATCGGCCTCTTAGTTCCCAGGGAGATATTTTGATCAGTTTGTAACACAATGGAAATTAATACAGAAATATCGGTCAAGAGCGAAAGCTTACAGTATATCTGATATCACAACTCTTAAACGCTGGGAAAAATGACGTCAATTTCAGCTAAAAGCTTATTTTAACTGGAGGAGCCTATAAAAGATTTTACCTCATATACAGCAGACTCAACTTTAATCTAGTAAGATTGGCACTTAACCCACAATAGACATACCTATAAATCTTATACAGAAAAGCTTTAGTTGGAAGCTGATACACATCTATGTGATGTTGGTCAGCATGAGCTATATGGACGCTTAAACGGTTTCAAGACCTATATTTATGAATTATACTCAGATGTTTTCTTTTTATTTCTTTTTACCGGAACTTAAGATGCAAATACAAGCTGTTCAAAAACCTTGAATAGCTTCCTTTAAGTTCCTTCTTAACTTTTCATTTTTATTTAACATCTCGTATATTTTCTTTTACGATATATTTTTCTTTTTACTATATTGTTCTTATGCTGCCTTGTGTTCACCAAGTATGTGTTAAATAACAAATTTTTTATTTTTTTTATTTCGGGGAAAATAAGAAAATTTATTTGTACTCGTATGTTTGTTTGTCTGAATCATTCCATTTTTTTCTAAGCTTAGTGGCATAAAGTGAAAATAAAAACAAATATCTAAAATATATAAAAAATCTTGCCAACGTTTGCAAATGACATTTGATTTCTTTTGTATTCTACGTGCTTCAACAGCTACACAAGAACGTCTTTTACTACTGTTTCCAAAATAAGTTCGGCTAATATTTTGGAGGGGCGTTGAGAGTGTTCGTGTGTGGATGTCAGTACAATTGGTTATATTCTTTAGATATGAAGAAGATTTTCACACATTTCACACGTTTGTTTAAAGAAACGAAGAAAACACAAGTCGAAATAATAATAAAAAAAAATTGTATATAAAGAACACATGTTGACGCGTGATAATTTAGACAAAAAACATAACAAAATATTTGAAAAATAACACATAGATGTTTTTTATATAATTTTTGGCAAAAGAAAAGTGGTAAGAAGAAATTTTTAGAAAATATTTTTTAAGAATAATTCATATAAAGGATTTACACCTATTGGCAGATTCCCCAAAAATTCAATACTAACCTAAAGGGACATTTTAAAGCTCTCATATGGCGGTAAATCTCAACCACCAAACTTTTCCTTTAATATTATTAAATTTCATTATATATCCATTAATTATTAAAATATCTAATGTAAACTCCCCAACAGAAGTCTTTATTTTTTTTAAACATTTAATAAATTTATAACTGGAGGCCATAAATTTGCTTATGAAAAATAAACAACAAAAAAATACTCTCTCATAATTGAAAATAATTTATTTTAAATTAAATTTTTAAATTGTTTTAATTTCCTTTGAACATACAAAAAACCTTGTCATAAAAATCTACCATTATACAAACAAGCATCGAACCATCTACCATTTAGACGACGAACCATTCAGCCAACGCACCAAAATGAAACAATCAAACAATAGTTCAATAAACCATCAAACAATTTTCAATACTCGAAACATTGTAAACCAATAGAAAACTTGTTTTGTGAAAAAATATAATTTTGAAATCAATACGCGTGTTTAAAGAGGTGCGTAAAATGCCGCCACCAAAATTGTGTTTGTTATTGATAGATGAAGTGATAACATAATTTTCAGAAAACAAAAAATCATACGGCATAAAGAAAATGCCACAATTGAGATGACATTCATTCAGAAAATCAAAACTGCATTAGATTGAGGTGGTCGTGAGGCTGACAGGTAATAGAAAACAAATAACAAATTTCGAACAAGGTTTGCGCGAAAAAATATGTGAAAAAACAATGTGAGTGAGAAAAAGTACACTTAAATATGTTTGAGAGGGGGAGGAACAAGGAGAGGAGGAGGGAGGGAGACGGGAAAGGGGGGAGGGCGGGGCAGGGAATGAAGGGAAAAGGGAGGGGGCAAAAAGGGAAAAGAAAGAAAGGAGGGCGCAAGAGGGGACAGGCACAGGACGCGAACGAACGA